AATTTTATCCCGACATCGATGTTTCTTTTTAAAATTTCCAGTCTTCAGGGCTGGTTTATCTATTTCAAATTTTCCCACTTTTCATATGTGGTGAGTCCATCAGCGCTTTCTGTCTGTCTGTCTTTCTCACACACCATAAAGAATGACTCAATATACATACACAAACACAAACCTTCTTATATAAAAGCAGAGCGGAAAACAATACAAGGGTCTATGGGAATGGTAGTATTAGCCGTTACCTTATAAGGAAGCATTTAATATTCTTTGAACGAACAAATAATGTTGAAATTTATGAAATCTTTCTGTAAAAATAATTTTCAGTAAAATATCTTCCTCGGTTAGGCAAGCTATAAATGCTTTTTTTCCATTATTAATGGTAGCTTCCTTACTAAACTTTTTAGTGTCAAATGTCAACGTATTATTTTATTTAGTTGTTAAATAAAGTTCAAATATATATATATATATATATTTGAACTTTATGTCAATCCTTCATGACCTTCCCATCCATAGCTATATGTGGCATTTTCGTTTATGATCGGTTTCTTCACGATTATAAAAGGAAAAAAAAACTTGTAGAATTCCAGTAATATATATTTAATCACTAACTGCGTGTACATGGCTGTAATTGTATAACCACACCCTCCTGTCTAGAAATGTCTGCCTGCGTCCCCGCTTGCATGCATCATCCGTTGGTATGCTATGCTACTACCCTTTAGCACATCATTTTTACGGTATTTCCTTCGCAAGTGTTTGATTGTTCTTAAGAAAGGAATTGCATCGATAAAACTTTCTTTCGGGGTTGAATTGTTTCAATGTTTTACATATTCAGTAAATTTCCTATGGCCGTAATCACTTTCAAATAGTATGGCACTGTTCACAAATCTCTTCAGAGCTTGATTCAATTGCAAGTGCAAACGCATTCCCCCCCCCTCCTTTTTCTCACGTTTACTGTAAAGCTGGGGTTAATACGAGGTTTTTCGGATGTCTTTTTTTTATCCCTTTTAACGCTTCAATAATCTTTCTCAAACAATATTTGCATCAAAGGTTTTTCGAATTTAGGATGGAATCAGATGAAAAAACTATTGGCTAAATGGTAAAAGCCGATTTTAGACCTAATTCGTCCACTTAAATGAAACAATCTAAATCAAAATCCACGCAAGACAATTTGTGTGTCGTGTGTAATTTACATAGCAAATTTGGAAATCATCGAATGAAAAACCAGGATGTTATGACCAGAAAAACTGGCGTTTTGGACAGTTTATCCTGGTTTTCGTCATACCCGGGGAAGCGAGCAGGACTAAATACACCCTATTTTATTGCTAACATGATGGTAAGTTTATTGGTGGAAATGTTTGAAGGAAAACGGATAGAAAGTGAGGAAGTTATTCAAGTTTTTATTTTAAATAGTATGAAAAAAACGATTTTTTTTGTGTGAAGATAATGTCGTAGGAAAACTATGAAGCACTTTACATAAACCTCGTAATATGAGCTATGATTTGCATTAAGTGCAAAGAATATCAGATCATTCAATAAGAACTTTGTTCGCGTGTAACGTTGCCTTGGTTTTCGCAAAACGTCGTACCCATCTTCAGTTTTATCGATTTTTCTGCCAAATCTGGAGGACTGGAGATTGAAAAGTTGGTCTTGACATAGATTCATAAAGTTTCAACATGTGTACAAAATTTCATCGAAATCGGTCACAAAATGTGGACCTGCATAAATAGCATGCACACACACACACACACACACACACACACACACACATAAACATAAATACAGACCTTTTTGTTTTATAAATATATAGCTGCCATACCCAGCTGGTCGATCAGAAAAAAAAACATTCAATTAGAATGGAGCAAAAACAGCACCATGCTTAGATATAACAGGGTCTATCTTCTTCAATTCCTTTAAAGTACTTTCATTTTTAAATGAGCATTCTGAATGAATGCAGTTACTGATATAACAGAAATAGTCTGTATTTATTCAATCGAAGTTAGCCGAGGACATGAAGGGGTAAAACTGACAACATGAAGGCCCACTTCAGACCATTTTTCGTTATTTTCGCGGGTTTTCACTATATGGGTCGACTCAATTGTCAAATTGAATGACTGTTAAACAATCAACTTATTGTTGGCTGCAATTGAGTGAAGTTTGTTTTAGATTCCTTGAAAATTTTAGCTTTTAGTTTAAAATTTGTGTTGTAATCGATTTGTATTGAATTTATCGATTTTGATCAGCTTCACCGATTATTGATTTTTTTTTTAAATTATCGAATTTTTATGCTAAGAACTTATCTCTTACATGGTACAGTGTATGTGCCAAGTTTGGTCAAAATCGGTTGGATGGATCTCGAGTGATAAGGTATCACGCAGACAGACACACAGACATCCTCTGTTATATATATATATATATATATATATATATATATATATATATATATATATATATATATATACCGGGTAATATCAAAATTGTTCAAATCGTATAACAGCAAAATTATCCAATTGTTAGATTAAGCTTTGAGCTGTTGTTAGATAATATATTTATATATATATATATATATATATATATATATTTGTGTGTGTGTATATATATAAAATATATAAATATATGTATATATATTAAGAAGAGAATGTGTGTACATATATATGTGTGTATATATTTGTGCGTGTGTATGTATAATGATTCCATATAACTTGGGAATACGTGTATGTACGTATGTGTATATTTGTTTGTGTATGTACTGATTCCTTGTAATGGGACGGTATGTGTGTGTGTTTGTGTATGTGTGTGTGTATATGTGTGTGTGGGTGGGGTGTACAGATGTGTTCACTGATTCCTCGTAGTGAGACAGTGTGTATGTATGGAGAGAGGATATACACATATATACACGCATGCTGACAAAAGCACATGAAAATGGAAATAGATCTAAGACCGCACAGAGGTCATTAAAAGGTAAGCATGCCGATAACTACTCCATTATTTCTCGAACCAATCTTAATTGTTTTATAAACCTTCACGCAGAACTTTTCACTGCCAGTTCAAGAAAGACATTTGGGTCACTAACACCAAAAAGAGAATGTCTCATATCGAGAGTATTTAACATCGAAAAACATAAAGAAAAAAATTAATTATTTTTAATAATATGTGTAAATCTCCACCCTTTGCCTGATGACGGTCGCGAGACCGGAAACCGGTGTAGCAAAATTATGGAAAATAAAACATAATATTTTTTTTTAAATCCACATTACAACCAAAAACGTTTGCGATTTCTCTCTTCTTTTTAATATACACACTTTTCTCTCGTTAGAACTACTATAACCTCTTCCTTTTACATATATATATATATATATATATATATATATATATATATATATATATATTATCTAACAACAGCTCAAAGCTTAATCTAACAATTGGATAATTTTGCTGTTATACGATTTGAACAATTTTGATATTACACCCTATATATATATATGTGTGTGTGTGTGTGTGTGTGTGTCTAGAGAGAGAGAGAGAAACCTCCAAAGCTTCGCGATACCTGGAAATAATGTTCTTGAAGCTTTTAATTTCTAGCTAATAGATTAAATTTAATATTTCCAGTAAACAAAATACTTTGATGTATTTCAAAAACTAATTTAAATTGACTGGAAGGAGATTTCAATTTGAAATTGTTGAAATTTTTTAATTTAGTATCATTTTTAGCCATCTTTATTCAGAATGTAGTTCTCTTTTCAAAAAATCTTCCAAAAATAAAATATACTTTTCTGAAATTTTATTTGAGGGATATTTGCTGATTTAAAGTTTAAACTGATTTTAAACAAATATTACTTACTTTAAGTTTAAAATATTGAAGAAATTCATTTTTTAATGTGGCAATTGCTGCTTATTTAAGGTGTTGACATGTTGACAGCTTGAATGACCGATGGAAGTTTAATGTTTTTCTACAGTGGATATATATATATATATATATATAAAATAATTGTGGAATATAACGTGAGCGCCTTTTTATGTAATTTTTAAGCACTCAGTAATCTTAAAAATTTATGAAAATATTCTGTAATCTAATGTTTTATTGAATTTTAGAAACTTTGACTTTAAATTCACTTTAGTTATCACTCTTATTTTCTGATAATGTCATTTATGAACATCCGTATCTACAAAATTCGGCACGTTTACACATAGAAAAAATTCAAAATTCTTTTTAAAATACTGGGGGTATCTAAATTGTAATAAGCTTTTCGTTTTATGACTAGTAAGTATATTTACTTAATAACAATATTACCTAACCGTTACAAATATCTACAGAATTTTAAAAAGATTTAAAAATTTATAAATTAGTTTTATTGATTTTTTTTTTATTTTACAATTCAGAGTAGATATTTACAAACTGGGGTTCTTGTTTTACAAAAAGAAATTAATGATTTAAATTCACCAAGGAGTTCTGCCTGTGGAATTCAAATCAGAAATTTGTTATTCTGCACTTTGTTTTATATTATTTTTAATAGCACTAAAATAATGCTCTTTGTCCATGACACCCTATACACTCGCTTGTTCTCCTGGTCTCAAACATCCTCAAAGTATTATCCTCTCACCATTGTGTTTAATTGTAAAGAGGGTATCTGGTGGGTTTTGAGCTTCATTCGTGGTCCTCTATAGATGCAGTGGGTTCATGTGATAATACCATTAAAATTATATAGATAATTCTAATTTGACCTCATCTGATCATAAACACAGAGTCCCAATATCCAGTTCCATGTTCTTTTAGCATAAGTTAATCTTCTTTTTCGATGTTTAGCGTTAAGCAAAGGAGTTTTCATGAACGACAACCTCGAAGCCATACTCGCTGAAGGCATCTAGGGCCTGTCGATATATTCAACCCTGCTGTCTCTAAATCATTGACAATAAGGAGCTTATTCTAATGTTATATATTAAAATAATAATTTATCCAACGATATGGGATTTTAATCAAATATATGTTACAAAAATGTTTGTAAAACTGATAGATAGATAGATAGATAGATAGATAGATAGATAGATAGATAGATAGATAGATAGATAAGGTGAATTTATTCAGTACTTGATAGAATGTTTTAGGTCTATCAATAAAATAGAATGTTTATGAGAATAGAAAACAATATTGAAACAAAGAAAATCTTTGGGAAGCAATAAAACCTGCAGCAAGTAATACTAACATTGAAACTGTAGAAAGGTTGATAAAATCAATGCCTAAAAGTTTGATGACTGTTATAGAATGTCAACGAGTTCATATCAACTTGTAAAATTGTATGAGACATTGTATTAATGAACTGTGTGATTCTGTGGCCTTATATAGTTTGCATATATTTGTAAATATAAAATTATTTTGCATTTTGCTTGATACTAAAAACCTGGCATTTCGATGTAAAATATTAAAATAATAATTTATCCAGCTATATGGGATATTAATCAAATATATGTTTGTAAAACTGACAGAGACGTCAAGTGACTGAAGACGAGATGCCTGATCAGGATCGATTATATTGCAGACCTTTCTTTGGATTTTGTCAAGAATATTTACAATCACTTATCTGGTGATGTGAGGTTTTCTTATGCAACCCAATGGGTGTTCATATTGTAAGTAAAGATATATAATAGAACGCGGGGAGGGTGGGCTACAGGGGGGGGAAGAGAATGAGAAGACAGAATAAAGAGTGTTGATGAAAGGGCGAGGAACAGAGTTCAAGAAAACAGAACATGGCAATTGACATTGCATTTCTATTTTTTAAGAAAAGGAATTTATTGAAACGGGGTTCCACAGGTGAGAAGTCAAATAAAATAAAATAAAAGCTCTTACTGCAGAAGTGGTAGTTGTGTCTAACTAGTTTAACAGTAAAACAATGAAACCTTGTTACCAATCTAGTAGCAGACTTAGAATTGATGTAGTTGAGATCACCAGAGGAAAAACTCATCACAGCAATTGTCATGAAAATGTTTGTAGAACTGATAGAGGAAAGCCATGTCGGTGAGAAAGTGACTGGAGACAAGATGCCTGATCAGGATCAATTGTATTACAGACCCTACTCTAGATTTTTACAATCACTTATTTGATGGTGTGAGATTTTCTTATGCAACCCAATGGTTGTTCATATTGTAAATAAAGATATATAATATTGTTTGATAAGAAAGATATAAAGTCAAATGTGGAACAAGCGATAGTAAAGTTGATGTGTACAAAGCACACAACATTTGAAATTGTGAAAAAGTTAGCCAGAGATTATAGAACAATCAAAAAAAGTAATTGAAAATAATGGCAAGATAAGAACAAGAAAAAAAAACTGGCTTTTGTGCAAGACTGTTCTTTCACGATGTGCAACCCAAAAAAGATACCATGTTAATAGAATGGATCCCAGTCTCTCCATATATGAATCCAGTAGAAAATTTGAGGTCTATCACTAAAATATATGTACATGTACATGGGTATAGAAAAGCAGTATTGAAACAAAGAAAATCTTTAGGAAACAACCTTCAGCAAGTAATACTAACACTGAAATAGTAAAAAAGTTAGCATGAACAAAAGGTTGAAGATTATAGAATTTCAAGGAGCTTATTTTAATGTAAAATATTAAAATAATTATTTATCCAGCTATACAGGATATTAATCAAATATACGTTTCTTTAGCTTATATCTTTTGGATTTACTTATAAATAAGATTGTTGTACTCATTTTGTTTGCATAATAAAATCTGACATCTACAAAAATTATTATCAATATTCTATATAAGTATAAATATTATAAGCTGAAACTCATAAATAGAAGTAGATGCTGAAAATTTGGTTAATTAATACCAGTTTTATTATGAAAACATTGACTTGCATAATGAAATATAACATAGTGTAGATATTTTCTATTTGCTCCTGTTGTCTACCATGATTAATATTTACTGAATATTATAAGTTTAAACTTAGCATTACATCATTCAAAGCAAGCGCGTCATATTTCTTCATACTTTCGCCCAATACAAAAGCTCGTGAGACTCTTCAGTAGCAATAAATAGCAATAATGAATGATGTGGCTGGTATAATATTTTTAAAATTTTCACCGCAAGCAAGACGATAATGCAATTAGAACTCAATAGGGTTACACGAAAATAAAGTGAAAGTGAAAGTGAAAGTGATACTGAAAGAGAAGACTGAAAATTGGGAGGATTGAGCAAAGGACAAAAATCGAACGGGTTTCATGAATAGAGAAGATGGCGATTGACGCTGCATTTAAATTTTTGATGATTGCAATTATCAGGGTAGCAAGAAATTGAAAGAGAGTTCCACAGGTAGGAAGTGCAAGAAAAGAAACTGTTAGAGTAGTTATTGCGGTTGCAGTTAGCTATTTCAACCGTAAAACGGGTGGTACCTAGTTGCATGGCTAAGTTCATGTACTCAGGGCACCAGGGGAAAAAAGTTCGTCAAAGCAGTTACCATGAAAATATTTGTAGAAATGACAGGGGGAAGCCACGTCAAGTCAGTAAGAAAGTGACTGGAGATGTAATGCCGGGTAAGGATCGATTATATTACAGAGCCTTCTTTGGATTTTGTCACGAATCTTGAGATGTACAGCAGGAGCACCAGACCAGATATGCCAACAGTATTCAATGAAGGCGGTAGAAACTGAACATGAGTATAAAGAGGAAATATAACGACTACTCCTTGGAGAGGTCAAGATTGACGAGCTCAGAGGAGTATACGCACGGGAGTCTGTTCTAGTAAGTGGCATTTCTTCAGAAAAAAAATTCTTCAAACATTTGTAACAGAAAAAATTAGTCATGGGTTCTCCTACCTCTAAAGGTCTGAATCTCTGAAACTAAAGAATGGAGTATTTTTTTAATAATTAAATCCATAGAAGAAATCGAAAACCCAATACTAAAGAGAAATCAAGAGATAAACCTCTACTCCTGTTCGAAATAGAAATAGCGATAGAGTTGTTGTGATGAGCTTACAGTGTTGCGTCTGTAGAAAAGAGTTTGCACAATGGACAATAAGTCGTTATCCGCAAAACCACGGAAAAGATTTTAACCCTATCATGTATGAAAAGTGGGGATTGAAAAACTCCCGTTCAGAGGTTGCAGAGTAACGCACCTTTTACGGTCTAATAATAGCAATAATAACATTGTATGGATATGGGAAAATATGTGATGGTAATAAATCTACGTAGTACGAACATCATCCGGGAACAGTCATAGGTCATGAGGTCACAATAATCTTCATATTGAGAGGCATGTAAAAGGTACGAGACCAGCCATTGTAATTAAAGACCACTAACAATCAAAAGAAAATATAACTTCGCATAAATACGGCAGTGCTATCAACTAAAAATATATGTTAAAAATACGACAAAATAAATGAACGTAAGAACCTTGAAGTTGAAACTGAAAAAGTAAGGTACCTTAACATTACTGTTATACCTATAATAATTGGAGCCCTGGGTACGATCAAAAATAAAAATACAAATAAAGACATTAACAAAATCCCTCGAAACCCCTGCTTACAAAATACTCTTTTTTTTTTAAATAACTCTGTGTGGAACTGCTCATCTGCACATGAGAGTATTATCAATGTAAATAGCATATAAGCACCGTACATGTTAAGTATCACTTAATATCAGATTTGGAGTAAACAGTAAGAATAGAGTAAACAGAACGCAAAAAGAAGAAAAAGAAATAATAATAATAATAATAATAATAACAACCACCTGATTCGTCACCGCCTGGATCAACAAGGGTCGCGTCCCTCAGACAGTTGAAAAGTCTGCTACTGGTTCACACCTACCCATATAATATGTGGCTTAGGGTCTACCACATCGGTATGCTCCATGCCCAGTGCCAAGAGGTTCTATTTAAGGATAGTGATAAAAATGGCCCAGGAATGACAATAAGCGAATTCTTAAGATCTGCCATCAGGATTTTAAAACAAATATTTTCATGGCAGTTGTTCTGATGAGATTTTTTCCTGGTAGTCCGACTGCATGAATTTAAGCGTACTGTAAGAATATTATAATTATTATAAATAAATAAAATTAAAATACAGCATAATAATTATAATGAAAATTATAAATAAGATAAAATAAAACAATAACATTTAAACTTTGTTTAAAATAGATTAAATAAAAATTAAATGAATAAAAATACTCCCAGCATGCAAGAAAAACTTTTCCTGTCGGAAATACGGACATTTCGCCAAAAAACGTTAAATCCAATCTCTTCGCCTTAGTACGGGCAACACGTGTGTTACTTCTCTGTGATATAGCTTGTAATACTACGGATTAAATTCTCCCCGTTATCACATGCACTATAAAACAATTTTAACTTAAAAAGTATAGAAAAATATAAATAAATTGTACGAAATTGACATACAATTTACCATGTGTTTCCTTTTATTTTTGTACGTTTTATTTAAGTATGCTTTTATCTCTGTGAATACAAAGCTAATTTCTGCTCCTCTGTTGTGAGTGATACGCCACAGATTGGCAACTAGGTCTCACCGTTTAACTGTTGAACTAGCTTGATGTAAACGTCATTTATCTCGTACTTCTCACCTGTGAAACTACCTTCCTATTTCTTGCTTCCCTGATAGCTACAATCTTTAAAAATTTAAATGAAACGTCAATAACCATCTTCTGTGTTCTTGTACATTGTTCCTTTTTTCACCTTTCCTCAATCCACCTCGCTAAATTCTTCTCATTCTCTTTCACTCCCGGTACCCCCCTCCGCGTTCCAGGGACATTATGACCTCACTTGGGATGAAAATTAAAAAAAAAATTTAGCAGACGTACCAAATTTGAAGTATGGCGAAGACATGTCACATGATCTCGTATGGAGCCACCAATAAATAACTTCTGGTGCCTGTAATCAATGAGAGGAATAATAAAAATTCTATAATTCTATCTACAGGCAGGCTGTATACCAAAGTATCTACTTAAATATAACATCAAAGGTTTTTTATCGATTAAATTGTTTTGTCGCAAATTATTGATTAAATTATACTTCCAAGATCTACATATTTAGATAAAATGAAAATTCTTTCAAACACACACACACACACACACACATATATATATATATATATATATATATATATATATATATATATATACTAGTATACCCGTGCTATCCAATAATATTGATAGTTAGGTAAAATGAAATTATGTAATTACAATACATTTACTTGAGAGCTAAAAATAAATTAAGACATAAAGTGTGGCGTTTTATTTCTCAAGTTTAGAATAACAGAAAATTGTATTTACGCTACGTAATTAAAAGGGACCAGTTTATAATTATGTGTCTATTAGGGCTATATCACTTTGCAATGTCGGTTCTCATAGGATAACCTAAGTTATGCAAAATCGAAGCTGGTGAGATGTAATAGATATTTCTCGTAATGCACGCACTCACACATACAAACAATCTCTCTCTCTCTCTCTCTCTCTCATATATATATATATATATATATATATATATATATATATATATTTACAAATATTTTTTTTTTTAATTTGAGGGCTGTTCCTCACACCAAAACAAAGACAACAATCCATAGAAACATATTTCTGCAAATCCTTCGTTTTTGAGTTATTAAGTTTAAAGAAAGATTACAGTAAATGGTGTTGTGTTGCCATGTAGACTAGATTACATTTGTCATTCGTGTACATCTATGGCTGGTCTGTCTTCAGCGTTTAACGTGTACAGTTGTGAGATAACTGAGAAGTGCACCGTTTAACAACGGCAGGATATTCATAACGCGAGCTAGCAGATATGATCTTTACAGCAACGCGATGATAGACAGCAGGAGAGTTCGGACAACTCGGCTGTTTTCGGTCTGGAAGCACAATCCGATACAGCCGTGCAGCCTCCCGTTCATTATCATTCGCCCAGCCGAGTTACAGAATAATTAATTTACCACAAGATCATGTGGTGTATGTAGCAGGTAATTCTGCTGCATCTTGTGCAAGTGCCTATGCCGCAAATACAACAAACAATTCTTCCATATCAGAAAAGAACAAGTTTATAATGTAACTCAACAAGAACAATGCTCGAGAGCCACACAAGTTAAATGTTTACTTTTAAAATGTTAATGATAAATAACGTGAATGATATGAATGAAAGAGAAATTTGTAGTAAATAAAGATAAGGTAAGTTTCTATGGTTTAGAGTGTAGTATTTAGGTAAGCAATTGTAGTTAACATTGTAGTATCAGGGAATCACCTATGGCTTAGAATGTAGTATTTAGGGAAGAAACTATGGTTTAGATTGCAGTATTTGGGAAGCACTTATGGTTTTTACTGTAGCCTATGGTTTAGATTGTACTATCTAGGAAAGCACCCGTGGTTAAGATTTAAGTATTATGGAAGCAACTTTGGTTTAGATTTTAGTATTTAAGAAATAAGCTATGGTTTAGATTGTAGTAATATGGAGGCAAATATGGTTTAAAGTGTAGTATTTGGGAAACGTCTATCATTTAGAGTGTAGTATTTATGGAAGAACATATGATTTAGAGTGAAGTATTTATGGAAGAACATATGGTTTAGAGTGAAGTATTTATGGAAGAACATATGGTTTAGAGTGAAGTATTTATGGAAGAACATATGGTTTAGAGTGAAGTATTTAGGGGAGAAACTATGGTTTAGATTGTAGTATTAGGGAAACACCTAAAGTTTAGATTATAGTATTTAGAGATGCACCACTAGTTTAGATCGTTGTATTTATGTAAGAAAATATTGTTTAGCGTATAGTATTTAAGGAAGAACCTATTTTTAGATTGTAGTATTTATGCAAGAAACTGTTGTTTAGTGTGTTGTATTTAGGTCAACTGTGATTAAGATTGTGGTTGTTCATGGAACAAAGCTCCCTAAAAAAAACTTTTTTCTTTTGTTTTCAAACACGGGGGAAATGCGGATGTTTCGACTGTTTGTAAGTAGCTGGACGTGTCCCAAATATTAATGATTGAACTGGTGGAAATAACGAATGGAGCTCATCTGACCTTTCACCATGGGAATAACAATAATGTAATGATGGGCTTGCAGTGTTGAAATCTGTGGGAACGAAGGTGTACAGTGAAGAATAAGCCTCCCCTCACAAGACTATGTTCAGTTCTGAGCTGGGATTCATCTAAACATTTACCATGGAAATAGCAATTGAGTAGCCATGGGCTTGCAGCCTTGGTCTCTGGGAAAGAGATTGTAAGGTGAAGAATGTATTTCTGCTACTATATAGTAAGTGCGGTCTTCACTGAGTGCTTCATACTTATGGCCTTTTGCCAACCTAGACTGAGTAAATTCTTAGCGCCTCAGTGTAAGACAGTAGTTAGATAATAAACAATAGGTTCATTCAAAAATACTATAATCTAAACAATGGGTGATTCCCTAATCACTACATCCTAAAACATAGCTGCTTCCGCAATACTACAATATCTCTATCTATAAAAGGCAGGATGTGTGTGTGTGTGTGTGTGTGTGTGTGTGTGTGTGTGTGTGTGTGTGTGTGTGTGTGTGTGTGTGTGTGTGTGTAACGAATGCACGGCCGCAATTTTCGACGGATTTGCACCAAAATTTACATGCACATGCTTCAAGTTAGTGGGAAAGGCCAAGACCGACTTTGCATTTCCCAACTCCTATCGATAGTGGAAATAATAGATTTTTTCATGCTTCTACGGCAGTTTTCATGTAGTTTGCGGCCATTTCGTACTGGCCAGAGTGAGAGCCAATAGCTGGCTGCCACGAATAGGCAGGAAGATTCTACTGGCCAGCGTGAGAGCCAACAGCTGACTGACACGAATGTTAACTAGCATGCTAGCATGCAAAAAAAATCGATAGCTGCATTCGTCACAAGTGGGAAAAATTTAAATCTGCATGGCACTTTACTTCAATTGGCTCATTCGCTTGCTTAAACTCAACGTTGATTCTAATTCCGCAGAACTGGGTTGGGCGTGAAAAAGTATTTGTTGTTAACATTCTTTTTCATTCGGTTTTCCAGTTACGAGTCCTTTTTAAAGCTGATCGTTTTGTGTTCATTTTGTTTAGTTCTTTTTTCGTAACAGATTTAATGTTTAGTATAGAGCTTAGAAAAAATTCGCAGTGTGAGAAGTAAGAAGTAAGGCATGTAGCAACATCAGCACGGCTAAGGGCACTCCTTTAAAGGCAAGGAAGGGCAAATATATTTTAAGTCAAGTGATAGCGATTGTTGTATGAGTCGTACGATTTTTGAATCACGCACGGGCAACGCCGGGCCATGCTGCTAGTAAACTATAAGCGTTTCGCTGAATACTAAAATCTAAACCATAGATTCTTCTTTAGATACTACAATCTAAACATCAGACTGATTGACAATAGTGAGTAATAATTTCGATCTTCACTGTGTTTCACACTAAACTGAGCTCATAAATGATAACGTTTAAGATGTGAAAGTTAACACTTAATATAGAGCGTTTTGGCTTTCAGATGCCATAAGATGTCGATATGCAAGCTGTCTATGCTCTCTCAGCTATTGTGCCTGTGAAGATAGCAAAAGAATTTAGATTTATTTCGATTTCTCTTATCTTCACTGATGAATTTAGTTTCTTCTACGTTTTTCTTTCAGACGTCTACCTCGGCAAAGGGTAAAATAGACGTAATTTCTCGCACTCCCTCCTTCCCACTTACCATCTTCAAAAATGTAAATGCAATATCAATCGACATCTTCAGTCTTCCTGAAACCTGTTCTTTTATTGTCCTTTCTCCTTACTAAAGTCTTCACATTCTCTTTCATTTTCACTAAAAAACTGATGAAGGTTATAGAATGTCAAGGAAGACGTATTGACACAAACAATAATAAAATAATAATTTATTCATTTATATGGGATATTACATATATAATATGTTTTTCTCGGCGTAATTTTTTAATTTCATCAATAGAAATTGATTTGTTTACCTAATAAAACCTGTCACTCCCAAAGCAAGTTATTTTTAATCAGAATGAACATTATAAGCTGAAAATCATACAATGCATTGTTCATATAAATCTAAGAATATACAGAAAATGTTACCAACATTGATGGGTTAATACCAATTTTATTGTGAAAATATTATTATAAAATCTGACACTATATATTCGTTCAGTTTGATTCAGATTGAAAAAGCCTGGGTTAATACCAATTTTATTGTGAAAATATTAACATGCATTATAAAATCTGATACGATGCATTCATTCAATTCCTCAAGAATCTTTTATCCATCACTAAGAGAAAAAGAGAATATATGCATGCAAGACAATGCTTCTTCACCAAAGTTGACTATAATCCATCCCAAGAAAACCAAATTATTTGTTCAATCAAAATGCCAAATTAATAGAATCAACTCCAGATATTAACTGACAAAAAACTTGTGGTTCATCACTAAAAGAAGTATATGAGAATAGAAAGAAAATAATGGAAAGCAATAAAAAACTGCAAGTAATGTTTAAGTTGAAACAATAAAGTTAAAAATATCAATGGAAAAAGACTGATGAAGGTTATAAAATGTCAAAGAGCCATATTAAAATGAAAAATAAAATAATTTATTCAGATATATAGAATTTTGTATTAATCTGTTTGTGTGGCTTTGTCTTTTTTTGATTTATTTGGAAATAAAATTTGCTGGTGCACTTAATTTGTTTGCCTAATAAAACCTGATATTCCCAAAGCACGCTATTAATATTTTTTTAATAAGGATAAATATTATAAGCTGAAAATCATACAGTGTATTGTTCATATGAATCTAAGAATATACAGAAAATATTACCAACATTCATGGGTTAATACCAGTTTTATTGTGAAAACATTATTATAA